TCTTTTCTTTTTTTGACACTAGTGTCACTTGATTAGTTAATATGTTAATATTTATAATTGTTATTCAAGCTTGTGGTCCCTTTTTCAGATAAAAGAAAACAACTCAATTTGCATAGCTACGAATAACATAAAGACCTGTGAACAGTAGAAACAGGATCACTATTGGCATTCATATGCCCCTGTCTTTAAAAATACTTGCTGCTTGAGTATTTTTTCAATTTCAGATCACCCTTATCAAGAGAGGCTGCTTAATGCATTGAGGGAAAGCTAATTTTTAGATGAATTATTCATAAATATCACTCTTTTCCAGTGGCAAATACAACCTGAAATATAGTAATTTGTCCTAGTAGTAGTGTTTAAAACTAAAACAAAAAACCCAACTCCCTTGAAAATAGATTTATTAAATAAGCACCATTGAATTCACCTTCATTTCCAATATGTTCTCTTTGTCCTTTTTCTACTTGAGATGATTATGTTGTGAATATTTGATATGTATTTACAATAGTGCTCTCCCCTCCTTACAACTGGGATGTGAAGCTTGCTCATTATCAAGTACTGGACAAACATCTTCAGTGTGCTGTACAGCTCATTGAATTTGTATATTATTATTATTATTTTGCAAATTATTGCCATATTTTAACCAAAAATGCACAAATAGGGACACCCACATACTTTGTACTGCATCAAACTATTCCCTGTAAAATGCGACCTTTTTATCATTCCTAGCCATCTGCCTTTCTTTCTCCAAAGCGCTAACATAAAATTCCTCCTTTGATTGTTCTCTTTCTCTGAAGTAGCCATATTTAGATTAGTAGCTGACTGATTGGAACGAAACATTGGAAATACCCTTTAGGTTTTTTCCACGTGCTTTAATTTCAGCAATTTTCAACTATTTTCTTGCAAATGTGCTGTTAAAGAGGGGAGGTAATTGGAAGCTACATCACTCCAATTTTGTACCGCTTCTGCTAAGGAGATCTGTGCAGTTGGTGTTAGTTTGTTTGCCTGCTTGCATCCCTGGCAAGGGATGCCTATCAGGGACTTCCGGGTTGGCGCCTCCAGGCAATGGCGGAGTTCCTCCGATCGGGAGGAATTTGCTCCGCGGAAATTAGGGTCTGACCGCCACGGCGAAGGCGGAGACCCATTGAAATCACAGGCGGGAGAAGCCTGTGAACTTGGGATTCAGCTGGCACCCTTTGTGCCTCCCCTACTCGCAGGGAAACCCTGATTTGGGGATCCGGAGCGAAGTGGGGTGAGCGGCGCGGTGCTTCGAATTGACTGCTTCTTTCACGGAGTGAAGCCGCATCGCTGTTGCCGGAGAGCGCTGACTTTTTCCTGTGGACAATTGGATTTTAAACAACTACCCGTGAGTAGAACGGAAAATTAGATCCTTAAATTCATTAATTTGGCATCGAAACGGGAAGGTTCTAAACAGGAAGTCTGCCTTCCTTTTTTGTAAACAGATTGAAGCAAAGAAGTTGCAAGTTAAAGCCTTGGAAAGTTTATTTTTGTAAAGGATTAAATCTCCATCGGTTAAAACTATTAAACCCCCCTTGGAAGCAGGAGAAGAGGGGGAAAATTTTGGACATAGTGAGCCTGCAGGAGAGAGAGTGAAAAACCAAATTACCACTGCTCCGAACCTGGAAACGGGCTGCCAGAAAGAGTGACGTTTTTTGACAGCTAGCTAAATAAGAGAAATATATTGTTTCCATTGTCCTCATCTGCGTTTAAAAAGTAGGAAAAGTAACTGAAAACTGAAACTAACTTTATAGTTTAAATTGTGTTTGAAAGGATTGATACAAGTAGAGACTGTTTCCCTCTAGAGGGAGCTTTTGAAACTGTTACAAGAGTGGAGCTGGGGTTTTCCAGTTGCAAGATAAGAACTGTGTGAAATAGAGATTGACCTTGGACTTTAAGAATGTTGACAGAAGGAGCCTTAGTGACTGTATTATGTAAGATAAGCTATTCGTTGGAACAGCTCCACAAGAAGACGGACGCTATGAATACCAAACTTGAGAACTTGGGACAAAAAGTGATTAATTTGGAACAAAAAGTGACCATTAATACAGAAATTGTTCAGGATTTGACACAGGAACCTACCTTGACAGGACAAATTGGGGAGAAGACGAATGAGAATGTTGGTGTTGTTGAACCTAAAATAATACAAGTGGAAGCCCCAGTCTTACAGAGGCAAACTGAGGACTATAAGTGGAGGCCTTTTATGAATGAATATAGAAAAAGTCAGAATTTGAAGATTGGAGCCCTGTTTGGATTGAAGAAGGAAGGTTGGATAGACTCTTTCATGCAGAGATTTACTGACCTTTGGGTCCTGAATTTGGGTCAGGAGGTGACTGGAATTGTGGGGGCCTTTGGATCTGGAGGAGCCTTGAAACATGATTTGAGATATTGTATGGACACTGGTTTTAGCTGTGGAGAGTTGGTTGGTCTGTCGAGAGGGAATGGGGGCATGGTTGGGTCGGGGCCCCCCCAAGACCTGCACTTCAGCATCTTCAGCATCAAAGAATATGAAGAAAAACTGCAGAAGGGACTTGGAAAAGATTTAAGAGCCTCGGACAGAAGATCTCCAGGTTGATGAACTATATGGAATGGACGGAAATGACTGGCAGAATCCGAGACCAGGGAGAAGAGATGGTGGTAGAAGATTGGGAAAGTTTAAAGTTTATATATAGAAATATTGTAAATTTAATGAGTGTTAGAAAATTGTTGGAATGAAACTTTATGGCTTTAGCAGAAATGTTATAAGGAGTTAGGTATAAATAAGTATTTCAGTATTAATGGAAAATAAGGTACAAAATATGTTAAGATATTCATAATGATAAAAATAGAGGAAGATGGAAAGGAATTGCTGAAACAAGTAATAGAAGTGGAATACAAAAAGGGAGGTGAGAGGAGGTCGATGAAATAAGGGAATGAAAGATAGAGTAATGAAATGGTATGGTATATGTTTTTAAATTGTTGTTGTTTTGCTTTGTTTAGTTTAATGTGTTAAGGTTGTGTTTTGTATTGTTTATTGTATTGTTTTTTCTTTTCTCTCTCTTTTTTTTCTTGTCTGCCCTATTTTGTCTTTCTCTCTCGCCTATTTTCTTCTTTTTTCTTTTTTCTTTTCTTGTAAGTTTTAAAAGCAATAAAGATTATTTTTTTAAAAAGGGGGGATGCCCATCAGACACAGAACCTTTAAATATTTTGGCCATTTTATTAAATATTTTATTGTGGGAGCCGAAGCCCCCACTGCCCCAAGGAGTTGGCTCCTATGACCTTTACATTGTGTGAACACTTTGAGAGCTCCACTCTGTGTTTACTGTAGAGTCTGGAAATTGGGAAGAGTCACCTTGGTCTTGTCATTTAGCTACGCCCACAGGCCCATTTTAGCTAGAATCCATGAACAATATTTTCCTTTAAACCTAGGGATGATCTCTCTCTCCTCATGTTATTAGATCAGAAATCAAATTGCCCAATTAAGAAGCCACTCATATTTTAAATATGTGGACTAGTATGGATGGCTTAATCTGGTTTGTAATGAGTTCCCACATAATTTCAATGGGTGTAACAGAATTTGTTGGTCATTGGCAGATGATGGGCAAACACTATCTCACCGGATGAGACTTCCAGGCAGTCAGCCACCTAGATAGCAGTCCTGAAATTAGTAGTCCTAAATATTAATAGTCCTAAATTAATAAATTAAATAGTCCTAAATAGTCCTAAAGGTTCAGTGCAGGTGGTGCTGTGGGTTAAACCACAGAGCCTAGGGCTTGCCAATCAGACGGTCGGCGGTTCGAATCCCCGCGACAGAGTGAGCTCCTGTTGCTCAGTTCCTACTCCTGCCAACCCAGCAGTTCAAAAGCACGAAGTGCAAGTAGATAAATAGGTACCGCTCCGGCGGGAAGGTAAACAGCATTTCCGTGCACTGCTCTGGTTTGCCAGAAGCGGCTTAGTCATGCTGGCCACATGACCCAGAAGCTGTACGCCGGCTCCCTCGGCCAATAAAGCGAGATGAGCGCTGCAACCCCAGAGTCGGCCACGACTGGACCTAACGGTCAGGGGTCCCTTTACCTTTAAAGGTTCAGAATTGTGATTTGGTTTGCTGAAATAATAACTGAAACTTGGTAACATCACAGCGCCAGCACTATGAGCAGGGGTGGAGGAAGAAGGTGTGGTGGGGCGGTCTGCCCCGGGTGTCACCACTGAGGGGGGTGACAAAATGCCGGGCGGCACTCACCGTGGGGCCTGCAGCACACCTAAGCCACGTGTCTTTCCTGGGAGAGACGCAGTGGCTTATGCACACAGGCTCCGTGCTGCCCCAAATGGTCCACCCACCGCCTTCCCCTCAGCTGTAGGGCGGCTGAATGGGAGGAGGCAGGCAGACTCCTTGGAGGCCCCGCGGAGCGTCCCGCCCTGGCTGGAGTGTCCTGCCCCCAGGCGCCCAATCAACTTGCTCCACCACTGGCTATGAGATTTAGAAGTGATACATATATGACACTTGTTATTCTTCTTATTATAGTTACTGTGTCACTGAATACAAAGTGGCCTGATTGACACTTAGCACTTAAGTCAAACCATCACTAAGCATAAACACGCAAGGGTGCAGATCCTTGCAATAAAAACTGCAGCCTCTTCACTCCTCTCCTCTCCTGGTCCTCCTGCTGCTGTGCTGCCTGGAGCCAAGCTATGGTTTGGCTTGGCGTGATATTCAAACCCAGGATTGTGGCTTGTCTCCCTTATAGAAACTACAAGCTGTAGCCAAGGTTGGGTCTTGACTTAAGGGTCATGGTTTGTTTTCCCCATCACTTTTCAAACTGCCCAAAGTTGTTGTGCTAGGATGACAGTGCATTTTAATCCGCTTCAGATACACAAACATACAATTCTAGTATGTGTTTGAATCCGTCCTGCAAAATGCTTGGTGCATCATTTGTTTAATGAAAATTGTGATCCTTGAGGTTTAAGTACAAAGAGGGTTAGGGACTGCATGTCTGATTTATTTATTGTTAACCTTGGCTCTGTCTTCTTTTTTTCCTGCACTGTGGTGCTCCTTGTCTGTCGTCTAGCCCATAACAATTAAAAATTTGTCTGCAGTTCATTTTCTTCTCTGTGTGAAAATAGAAGGGGAGTTAAAGCTCTTCTCATTTGATTTCATTTGACTGATAACCTTCTTCATTAATTCCGTAAGATCGTGTTTTAATATCTGTCTCAATGGAACTTTTCCGGGTAATGATGAGTGACAGCCTAAAGAACCACATTTCTGAGAAGCAAAAAATGTATTCAGTGGAATGAACAGAGAATCCCATTTGTGTATAGACCCTCTAGGAAAAACATGTAAAGAGAATGGGGATTTTCTTGCTATATATTTTGAGTTTTGAAGGAATAAAACAAGTTGCTATTTTCACTGGTGACACTCTAGCTCACTCTCCCCCAACATAGTGTCCACCAGTGATTTTGAAATACAGCTACCCTCATTCCTGACCCTTGGCTGTGATGGCTAGGACTGATGGTAATTGTGTTCTACAACATCTGGAGGACAACGGGTTGGGGAAGACTGCCTAGCTTGACCTATGAACCTAAATAAGAAGGCCTGACTGTTTTTGAAATGAACCTTCTGTTCTTATATTCATTGTTCTGACAGGCTATTGCACTCCATTTGGTTAATCATATCAAATCAATCTACGTAGACCATGTGTTTGGGGAGCCAAAACTGGAAATATGATGCAAATTAGTAGACTTCATCATGCTTGAGAGCCACTGTAGTGTAGAAAAGCCAGTGTGGTTTGTATGTAGACTATCTGTATGGGGAAACCTGGATCCACATGTTTGCTCAGCATGGAGCTAATGGGATGACCTTGAGCAGTCACACAATGTCATCCCCATATTGTTACTGAGATACTAAGATGGATAATTCTGCGTACACCGCATGAGCTCATTGGAAGAAAGGTGGGATAGAAATGTCATAAGCAACTATTAGAAGTTTGGATCAGCATTTGTTGTGCTTAGTGGGCCTTTATAAGAAGATGTGAGCTAATCCCAGTGTTTCTTTAGAGTAGAGCTAAGGAACCTTTGGCCCTCCAGGTGTTGCTAAATCTGCCATCACCCCTAATTTCTGGTCATGCTGTCTCAGGCTGATGGGAATGGAAGTCCAACAACATCTGGAAGGTGAAAGGTTTTCCAGCCCTGCTTTAGAGAAGAGAACATGGGCCTACCACTCCACCTCCAGTCTCTCTCAGAAGGATCACCTTGATAAGCAAGATGGAAAGGGGAATGGGAGGGTCTTGTCTCTTACACATGACGTGTACACCTGAGGTCCAGCATAACTGTGAAGCTAATGCTTCGTTCCTCCGCACTTCCAAGCTGGGGGAGCAATCCTGTTGCTTTCATGCTAGCTTCACAGGGGTTTAGTCTTCATAAACAATGTCTGGCTGTCCCTCCATTCATGGTGGACTTGCAGTGGCTGTAATAACTCCTTCAAAGTAGTAGTGTTCATTAGACATTTCTAAAGTAGTCTTTATGCAAGTTTATTTAAGGAAGTGACAATAAAAGTGAATATTAGAGGTATTCTGTGATTTTAAGTCAAGCAAAACTGTTGGCATGGCCTTCTCCTGCTCAAGAGACTGAGATGGCGTTTTTCCCACCGAAGGGCATATTCTCATGACCCGTTCCATGTGTGACAGCTGCGGTTTTCAGTCAGTCAGCAGTGACTTCCAGCTGGAGTTGCTATACACTCAGTTGCTTGTAGGAATGCCAGTGGCATGTGCCAGACTTGGTGCCTTTTGACATCCCAGCAGAAGAACAGCTTTTCAACAGATTATGGTGCCATGTAAATGCTATTTTGTGTGCTTTGTCAAGCTGTCAGCATTTGCACAGCCACCCACTGAAAGCTAGTGTGGCAGGAAGTCAGCAAGCTGACCAGGGCGGCTGAAAACTCAGACCTCTTTACCACTTGTGGCCAACCAAGTGGAAAGCAACTCACCAGTCATGAATTCTGGCCTTCCAGGTCCTTGACAATATCCTGGTCCTCTTTTTAACTGCCTAGGAATGCAAAAATGGGGGAGACAGAACCTGGATGTAAGTGTTTCGGTTTTCAAACATTTTTCAGAAGCCGAACATCTGACGCGGCTTCTGCTTGAGTGCAGGATGCTCCTGCAGCCAATTGGAAGCCGCACCTTGGTTTTTGAACTTTTCAGAAGTCGAACGGACTCCTGGAACTGACTCCGTTCAAGAACCAAGATATCACTGTATTTGGTTTCAGTTGCTGTCTCTCACATTGCATGTAACATAATTTTTTGCTCTATAAGACTCACTTTTTCCCTCCTAAAAAGTAAGGGGAAATGTGTGTGTGTGCATCTTATGGAGTGAATGCAGGCTGCGCAGCTATCCCAGAAGCCAGAACAGCAAGAGGGATTGCTGCTTTCGCTGCGCAGCGATCTCTCTTGCTGTTCTGGCTTCTGAGATTCATAATATTTTTTTTCTTGCTTTCCTCCTCCGAAAACTAGGTGCATCTTATTGTCTGGTGCATCTTATAGAGCGAAACATACGGTAGTTTTGTTCTGAGCACAGTAACTCCTTTAACCTCCCATGCACTTTTAAGAACCTAATCTGACCATATAGGCTTTGTAATGTGAGTGATTTGCCATCCTGGATGGAAGAATTGATGCCATTCTCTATTAATCTGCTGGTTAACTTCCAGATATGAAAGAAATCATGTGTTTTTTTTAACTGGGAGCTTTCTTTTCTCCTCCTCCTCCCCCCGGCCCCATTTCTGTTTTTTGACTCCATCCCTCAAATTCTATTCATGCTTTATTTCATCCTTTGGCTATTAACTTTGATATTTTTCCTCCCACCCTACATCCCTCCTCCTTGCACTCTTCCCATCAGCGATCTTTTTCATCTGTTTTAAGTACAAGTCAAAACATTTGCTTGTGGTAATGTTGGCTTGACTTACCATTACAACATTTAGCTTCTGATTCTAGGCATGTAATCAAACACTAGCGTTAGTGGGAACTCTGTAATCGTATCATTAAAAAACAAAAATCTATAAATGCCCCCATATAAAAGTTAGCTTTCCTTTCATGCTGAAATGTGCTATTTCTGCATAGATAAAAACATAAAGCTATATTTAAATACATCAATCAAATATTTGTGGGCACATTTTCAGTCCGATAATCTGTGTTGGGCTACAGTAGCAGAAGGCTTGTGGCTGAACAGCAGGAACACACTAACATTGAGAAAAAGGTCCTAACCCTGGGATGATGCAGGATGGATTAAGGTCAGAGCTAGGATTTCTTTTTTAACAAGATGGGATGAGGTGAACTATGAGGGGAGCTTTGTAGTTGCCTCAGCCCTTTTCTTGCTCCCTTTGAACATTTGTGAACACTTGTAAGAGCTGCTGAATTTGTTGAAATTCCATCCATGTTTCCGTGCCTCAACCATGGTTTCTTGGAAGTAACACTATTTATGCCACCAATCTTTCTAACCAAATTAAATAAATAGTAGAGCCTGCTTGGTTGTAGGTGTGGTTGGCTGATTGTAACCTTGCCACAATTAAGTAATATCCAGTCAAGACTTTGGGAATCAGCTGGTTCAGAACATGGCAGCCATGTTGTTGACAGGGTCTAGTCACTGTGAGGTTATTGGAGAAAGGGGCTTTTGTTTCTGTGCACAATTCGAAGTGCTGGTTTTAACCTTTCTAAAGCCTTAAATGATGGATGGTGAACCTGTGACCTTCTAGAGCTTTGTACACACTGTAACCCTGAAGGTATTGAAATTGAAAAAGTGAAACTAAAAACTATCCTTCATTTTGGCTAGTTTGGCATTTTCACATAAACTGCTTGTTTGCTTGCTTCCGCTAGTCTAAAACTTGATGAAAGGCCAGTAAGGTGTTTGTTTGTTTGTTTGTTTGTTTGTTTGTTTGTTTGTAAAAACTGGTTCATGTTTTTTGTCTTACAATTAAAATAGATGAATCAGGAGGAGGTGAATGGTAATATATTTTTTCTGTGAAAGGTATTCTTTCAGTTACTTTATTTGTAACAATGTACCTCTTTCAACAGATGCTGCATTTTCAAAGCTCTAGGAATTATGTGAATAGACCCCAGGCATCATCACAGAATATTTTAGCACAAAATCCTTTTAATCTTTCAAATGTGATTTCCTTTTTTAAAAAATTCTTTGACTATAAAATCATAATTCAAAGCAGGAAAGTTTCAAGTTAGTCTGCAACAGGATTCTAATATATATGTATTTAATATGAAAAAGTCTCCCATGTGATATTGTGAACTGTACCACATATTTGACACTTTGTATTATTGTGAACCGTACTCCTTGACAGACTTAATTGCTTTAGCAGTGAAATGTCAAGTATTGACAGTCGGTTACGTAGGTAAAATCTAATCAGTTTGTGCAGGCACGATGCAGGGTGGACCAACTCACTTAACTTTTGTACCTTTGATAGAAACCATGCTCATTAAAATAATTCCTGAATCACCACACACACACACACACACACACACACACGCTATTGTCCGTTCCAGCAGTGCTATTGCTGCACATCACACCAGCCATATAGCTAATGGCTTATTCACGCTCACATTCTCTCACCTATGAAAAGTGTTGTTCCTTCAACCATTGGCAAGGCAGAGGAATCCCAGTGTAAAAGATGAGACACAACTCTGACATGGGCAGTGGGAACAGACAGAAGCAGCCTTTCATTTTTAAAAAATGAAAACTGGAAGCTGATGGAGCAAGAAGCTGCCGATCTGGGACATGTCCAAGGTTTAAACAAGAATTATGGATGATACTGTTGCTATAAAACAGTGGTCAACTCCAGAGAGGTCATTAGGTATGCCTCAGGGCTTGTACATGTCCAGCTGAACCTCTGAACTTATCTTTGAAACGCAGCTCCCCAAGCTGAAATGTAATTGACTTTTGAAGTTTTCAGAATGGGCTTTCTCCCAGGACAAAGGCATAGAGAGAGAGGAACGTCTAATGCCCTAGTGGGCAGTAGTATGACTCGTGAGGTATTAATTTGGAACTGCCTAGAATTCTTATATTCATGCTTTAATATCTAGCAAAGGCAGATTATGTACTGAATCCATGCCTCACACTCTTGTAATTAGGATTAGGGCTAAAATGAAAGTACTTACTTTTTTCCAGGAGGTGGCCAAAAGTAACTTCCCACTGCACCCTTTGACAATTTTTCTGCAGTTGCTTCAAAAGTTACCACGTGTTCTTCTGTGTCACTCTCTTTGTTTGCCCCTTGGCGTTGCCAAACCCAGTTGACTATATAGGATGGTGATTCTTCAACACATTCACTCAGGGATCACCAATGTGAATAATCCTAGAAGGGGAGGGAAGAGCACTGATACTGAATTTTTATAATGATTTTCCTGCACTATCAGCTAGGGAAAATGATGGTACGAAACAGGACTGAAAAAGACAAATATTCAAAATTAAACTCTACTTTGGGAAATGCTTCTCCTTCCCCCCTTAGCCCAGATAGTTGTTTCCTGCTTAAAAACCAAGTCAGGAGAATATTTGGAGCAATCCTAACATGTATTTCTTATTACTCTTACCTTTATTTCTCTCGCTCTGAGAATGTCATCATTTTTGAGTGTTTCATAAATGTTCTGAGGGTACCAGTGCATTTTCTTATTTAACTTAACGGCTACTTTTTCCTGGTTAAACGTTAATGATGTGAAGCCTATTGATATATTTTTTACTTCGTTTCAGATGCAGGAATCTCTACCCCATGCCCTTGCTCTGACTGGATGATGCAGCGTATCAAGAAACTCAGAATATCCCCGCTCTTTGGGGAAGTCAGTCGATTTGCTGGTGAGTTGCAGCATGCCAATGAGGTACTGTGGTGCTTGAGATTTTATGCTGTCATAAAGATTTAGCTGTTATAGATTTCACCTTGACACTGGAGAGCTATTGTACTTGAAGTTTAAAGGTGCCCCAAAGAAAGCCTTCCATGCAGCCTTTCAGCTGTGCTTAAATCACCAGATTTGTAAATATATTTCAGGATTGTCTATAGGCAGGAGATTCCATAGAGAGAGAAGAGTGGTTTCCCATTCCCCCACTGCCTTCCTCCCTTTGCAGTAGCCTTTGAGGGAACCATAGGCACCAACTCCTGGCGACCAAGACAGTTTTGTCCCCCATGTAGTTTTTGAGGGAGTAAGGCCCCCTCAGTTTTCAGAGGGTGTTCAGCTCTGCCCCCTGGCTTCTCACGACATCAGGAAGTCATGTGTCGTTGCCTCCTTAATACTCTGGAGAAGCTGGCGCCTCTGGAGGGAACTATGTAACCTATGAGCCAACACACACACTGCTAATCTGTGCAGTGTCAGAGAAAGGGAGGGAGGGAATTTCTTTGCTGCTCACACCACCACACCTTACAGCTTTTAAAAAAGTAAAGGGGAATGTGCTTCAACATTGTGGGGCTTCTGGGCAATGGGGTGTGGAGGTGGGATCAGAAAAATAATCTCTTCTTGTTTGGGGGGAGGGAGGGGATTGGCTAACTAGTCAGTCCAAGCCAAATTTTGGAGAGCTCACTTGTTCCTGTGGTTCAATACCTTACCACTTCCTTTTCTGCCTCTTCTACATGCATTGTCCATGCATAGATTCCTATACTACCAGACACCTAGCTCATCACTTTGGGCCTTTGTCCCATGTGTGGAGAGTTGTGTTCATGAAACAGCTGCATGCATGTATTGTCATGCACAAGGCACAAGGCATGATCAGGAGCCAGCACTGTTTAAAATGGCATGTGTATAAATGAAAAATTCAAGGGACTGAAATTATTTGCATTGAATTTTAATATGTCAGATTCACCAGACATGGGGGGTTTAATATTGTCTGTTGTTGGTCCCAGCCTGGTTTGGCTGCCAATGACTTCTGTTGATTAAAGGAAAAATATACGAAGTAATGCATCATGGCAGCCAGCACAGGAGGATGATAAATGGTTCTTACATCTTCACTCTTCATACGAAGAAATAGTTTTATGGTATTCTAGGAAAGAAAGCAGGATTAGAAACAGTTATATGCAACCAAGGAGTGGGTGCTCGCTGCTCTGCTTTCATGTATGGTGAAATTGAGGATGACACCTTAATAAGAAAACTCAGGTGTTTTCTATTCAACAGAAGAAGCAATGAAATGGATTTCATGAAGAGAAAGGATCTCTTTATCAACAGTCTGTGAGAATGTAGCTTTCCATTCAGGAGAGCATGTGTGTTAGGGCTTTTTCCACTGAGATGTTCCATGGAGATGTTCCATTGAGAGACAACTCATCTGCAAGATACAGCTGCATCAATGGCATGATATCTATTGGCAATGTAACAGGAGAGGCAACTGGGCTGCACATTGATTCTCTTTGCCTTCCAGAGGGAGAATTTGAAGAGCTTCCCAGAACTTTGGAAAGTGGGAACCATCAATTAATGAGGGTTGCCACAGCGAAGGGAAGACATATGATTAATGGGTTAGTTTTCTTTTGGAAGTATCTGTCTCTGAAGCCTTGATTCTACCATCTTTAAGGGGAAACATTTCTTTAAACCTGCTGACAGTACAAAAGTATTTTGCTGCCACTTTTGTAGCAAACTGTATTTAAGAATTGCACAAGTCTATTTGGTAGTTTCTTTCGTCTTGTTGCTTGTTAATAAAAATGCAATTTATAAATAATTAAAATTAGAGGGTTTTCAGCTGTGAGTCTGACACACACCACACCAAAATAGCTGTGAGTCTGACACACACCACACCAAAATAGTCTGACTTCTGGTGAGCCATAGAAAACTTTATGTACTTCGGAGAAGGTCAAAACGAACATTTCAAGCCAAAATGGAAGTTGGCCAGCATGTGCAAGAGAGCCAGTGTGGTGTAGAGGTTAAGAGCTTTAGACTCGTAATCTGGTGAACTGGGTTCGCTTCCCCGCTCCTCCACATGCAGCTGCTGGGTGACCTTGGGCTAGTCACACTTCTTTGAAGTCTCTCAGCCTCACTCACCTCACAGAGTGTTTGTTGTGGGGGAGGAAGGGAAAGGAGAATGTTAGCCGCTTTGAGACTCCTTCAGGTAATGATAAAGCGGGATATCAAATCCAAACTTCTTCTTCTTACACTTCCTTAAAAAGATCTATGACTCCACCTAGCTCCTAGCTGTGAAATACGGGGCATGACCAAATCGTATTTCCTTTTCTTCAATCCGTCTCCCATTAAGCAAAGGAAGGCTTTAAGCTTTCCAACCAGGCCTATAGTGATGCACACGCACACGTTTGCACGAGGGCCTTTCCATGCAGCCCTAGCCATCTGCCTGAATATAAGAGAATGAGAGGTGGGGAATGAGAGGTGCCCCGCAACTTACTGTAACAACTTCGTGGTGAGGTCCAGCACTTATTTTTCTTGAAGAAAATCACTGACTTGGATTGAAAAAACGGCCAGGGAAAAAACATTGCTATCCAGGGTTGTAAAGACTGCAGAGAGAATAATTGGGTGCACTCTTCCCACCTTAGATCAAATCTATGCTGCCAGGTGACATAAGAAAGCGGCAGAGATAGCACAGGATAGTATGCACCCCGGAAATGATCTCTTTCAGCTTCTGCCTTCTGGAAGAAGGTATAGGGTTATAAAGACCAGGACTAGCCGCCTGAGAAACAGTTTCTATGCAAATGCAATTCTGGTTCTAAACGCAGCATAAGGGGTCTCTATAGTATAGTGGATTTTTTAGTATAGTGGATTTTATAGTATAGTATATATTTTTAAATGGGGTTTCAGAGTTTTTAGGGGGGTTTGAATGTTTTATGTAGTTTTTCAATTTCATTGTTCTGTATGGGACAACGACAATATAGAGATCATATATCGTATATATCATATATCGAAGGCCCTCATAAGGAAGCAGCCCTGGCAGATGTATACATCTGCCCCAAATAAGCTAGTAAGGCTGTATGCTAAATTCCCAACTCTGGCGATTCCCTCCCTCTCTCCCTCCACATTTCTCTCTTTCTTAAAATGATTAGATTCAGTTTGGTGCTTGTTTCCCTTCAGTTGTCATTAAGAAATGACAGCTGTGTCTCGTGCAAATAAGCACAGCCTATTTCATACAGGCATCAGTCCAGGGGATCATTTGCTTGTTGCTTAATCTTCGTTGGTTATGGATAATTAAGATGCACCTGTTAAAAGTTCCTGCCTTGTTCGCTGACATCCCTGCTTAATTATACCACATACCTGCTTCTTTGCAAAAACAAATTATTCCAGAGAAATGTGGTTTCATCTCTTTTTCATGCTCATTCATTTTATAGCCCTAAATGGATCTGCTGCAAATACCATAGTAGAAGCAAATTAAAGTGCCCTCCATTTATAATGTATGGCCACAGTGGACAGCGGCTTACACCAGAGAAAAGCAAGTATTAATTTCACATGGCTAACAATGGCCAAAGCAGTTACTTTCACTGTTCACTTATTCAGGGTAAAATATACCGTATTTTTTGCTCTATAAGACTCACTTTTTCCCTCCTAAAAAGTAAGGGGAAATGTGTGTGCGTCTTATGGAGCGAATGCAGGCTGCGCAGCTATCCCAGAAGCCAGACCAGCAAGAGGGATTGCTGCTTTCACTGCGCAGCGATCCCTCTTGCTGTTCTGGCTTCTGAGATTCAGAATTTTTTCTTTTCTTGTTTTCCTCCTCCAAAAACTAGGTGCGTCTTGTGGTCTGGTGCATCTTACAGAGCGAAAAATACGGTATATTTTTATTGGTGTACTGGTTTAAATGGAAGGAGAGGGGATCCCTTGCCATTCCTAAGCCGATAAGGTCGAACAATTGTAACCCCGGGCCCTAAACATATTGTCCATTTTTAAAATAGCAAAAAATAAAAGGATAACAACTTGGGCATAGAAAGTTATTTACTTATTATAAGAATATGTGTGCAATCTGCCGGCATTTGCTGTTCGTTAATTTAACCTTAATCGAATTTAAAATGAAAGGGAATATATCCTTCATCATTATGGAAGCTGTCATATGTAGAAATTGATCCCAGTTGGCTTTCGGCATACACCTGGTCATCCAGGAAAAAACAGGCAAGAATTTTAAAACACAATCCTATTGATTTTGCATTCCTAAAATGGTAGCCATCATTGCACCCAAACCGTTGTTATATCCCTGATAGACCTTTGTCTGGATTGTATCAATTTAGACTGCAGGCAGTAATTCATATGATAGATTGTCTCCTTATTCCACCAGCCCCTCATATAGAAAACTAGGCTAAGGGAACCTTTTCCCTTGTATGCTAGCTTTCCATCAAGTAACACCCCCACAAACACCCACCCACGCCTGCAGTATGAAAGACTACAGGCAAGTCACTGGTTTTCCATCTATGTGAAAACTAGTCCCAAGTTACCAACTCCTGTTTGTCTCTTGGAGCCCATTCACCAGAACTTTCAGATAACTTATCGCTATATTGGTAGTCTGTCTTGCATGAACAGCTTTCATTTGTTTCCTAAATAACAATCACTACAATTGTTCCATAGATTAAGCCTGTTGCACTGCAATTCTCCTGGTGCATTTTGCTCCTGGAAATTATTTGCAAAGAGCCTTGTCTCAGAAATTATTGTTTGAAATCATCATTACATCCAAACGTTTTAAGAGTTTAGATGCCTTTGAGATGGGAGGTAATTTCCAGGCTGAGATTGTCCCTTGGGGAATTTTCTTCTGCCAGTCAGCCAGGGAATGATTACAATTCCAGAGTTTCGTGCATATAGAACCATAGTCAGAATTATTCATCTAAGAATTGCAGAAGAAACAACTCTTCCTGCAATAATGCAAGTGATACTGGCAAACAAGGGGGAATATATAAACAGTCAGCTGCTGAAAAGTGATCGTTTTCTCTGTTCCCCAAAGAAGAAGCTGCAGAACCAACACCCAAAGTTCCCCCTCGCTTTCTGGCCTTTGTTTCATTTTAAATCATAAAAGCGATTGTCAAAAATGCTGCAGAAAAGACTTTCACACAGAATTGCATATCAAAGTCTCAACAGAACATTTCCTTTGCTTCAGATAAATGGACTGTGATTCAGAGGCACAGATGTGTGTTGATTTGCAGGAAACAAAGCAAGGTTACATGTGGCAGCCGTGCCATCAGCAACTGGTTCACCTTGCCTGCTTGGAAAGCAAAAGAGATTGACAAGGTTCAACTGTAGAACGTAGTGCAACTTTTTTATATTGTATATGAAAGCAAGGTTCGTTTGAAGTCTTTGAGAATGTTCAAGTCAGCCCTGGAGGAATGTTAGGCTTCAGAGTGTTTACCTCTGGCTCTTGTTCCACATTCTACTGTTTTAAAGTGGCCATGAGGCATTGTGGGGAAGAGAAAAGCGTAAAACAGGTGAGGGATAAGAAAATCTAGTTCCGTATAAGGGCAAGTGAAAACTAGCAGGTTTTTGTGATGTGTAAGGGGCAGTAGGATATGTGTCTATGTATGTTTGTGTGTGTGTGTGTGTGTGTGTGTGTGTGTGTACTGTACAGTGGTACCTTGGGTTAAGAACTTAATTCATTCTGGAGGTCTGTTCTTAACCTGAAACTGTTCTTAACCTGAGGTACCACTTTAGTTAATGGGGCCTCCCGCCACCACCGCACCACTGCCGCGCAATTTTTGTTCTCATCCTGAAGCAAAGTTCTTAACCTGAGGTACTATTTCTGGGTTAGCGGAATCTGTAACCTGAAGCATCTGTAACCTGAAGTGTCTGTAACCCGAGGTAGCACTGTATTTGTTCTTAGCCCTGAGAATATTGCCCCTTTCCTTTCCTGTTTTCCAATGCAGACACACAGCATTCAACCAGAGCCTAACACCCTCTGAACACTGAGGGGGCCTGCAGGGATGGAGCAATGGGGGTGCTGTGGGGGCAGGTCACACCGGGTGTCATCCTGAAGGGGGGTGACATTCAGCACACACCTCCGCCCATGACTCCCAAGCCTACGGCAAGCGGCGGCCCTGATGGGCCATCAGGGCCACCAACAAAGCAGCAAAGCTCCAGCCTTCGGCCGTGGCTCACTGTAGGCTTGGGAGTCACGGGTGGGGGGATTGCCCCGCTGCCCACGCTCCCTGCTGGAGGAAGCAGGCAAACAGGCAGGCAGGGGAGAGGACAGGTATCTTCCCACCCGTGACTCCCAAGCCTGCAGCGAGCTGGGGGGAAAGGGGGCTACTTGGCCAGCAGCCAAGGAGTCACAGGCGGAGGGGTGACAAAAAATTTCCACACCAGGTACCACCTGACCTTGCTATACCTCTGGGGGCATGGCCCCCTAAAAACACACACATACATTGGGGTCCCCAAAAGTGCTTTGGCCCCTAGGAGCTGGTGCCTATGGACTACCAGAAAGATGGAAGAAGCAGTGGTAACTGAATAGAACAGGTGCAAACCACTTCTGTACAAAAGAATGACAGAAAAAAAAGTTCTAAACACTGGCTGTGGCTAGGATTTTAATACAGCTTTAGGACAGTGGTGATAAATAACACAAATTCTTTTTTATTAGCTGCTTCTACATAAATTGGAAATTCTGAACCACAATTAACTTTGTCAGATACTTTTCAGAGGTTATTTAAAGTAAACTCCCATTGGTGAGCCGAGGTATTGGATTTACTAGCAATTATTTGTGCAGTCCCAAAATGCAAGATTAGTTCTTTTAATTAATAACCTTATGGAGACTTTTACTGCTGCAATAGATTAATCATTCTAAAATATTCTACAGTTGCGTTATAGGACTCCCTGCCGATGTTGCGACTGCTGTAGTTTTCCACACAGAATAAAAAGATAGAAAGTCTTGATTGTACATTAATGAGTATAAGATTTTATGGCTTTTAGCTGGATGAGTTTGCTTTAGATCTGGCGTATAGAATTTTAATTGGGGATAAATGAGAAAAATTACCCTGAAATCCTCTGCTTCAACAATACAGTATTGTACCCCAAGCGTACCTTTATTGCAGTGCCGTTTTTAGTGGAAATACTTGAGGCAAGGGTTACTTGAACTTGTAATAACTATTCATAATTTTAAAATATGGCAAACAATATCTAGATCAGCTGTATTTCAACTTGATTGTTTGATATAGAAACAAATGATAATGGCAATAAAATGAACCAGCTGCCAAAAACATAAAGCAATTAGTAGAAGAAATGAAAAGTGTATTGAAACAGAAGAACAGATAGTGCCTGTTTCAGATCTGGAATAAGCTCAATGTCCTTTTCTATTTGATTTTATGGCAGTGATATTGGATAACGAACATAGAAAAACTTTAAATAAGAAGTGAATAAACAATCTTCACTTACTGTTTTCTAGCACTGCTGTGGCCATTGCTCACCAGGAAAATCTCAAGCACAATTTCCAGGGCAGCAAGTGGAAATTTGACACTTCATACCTCACTTCCTCTGTTCAAAAAGCCTCACAGTGCAAAAATGTGAGATGCACTATTATTGTTAAGAAGCTTCTGCTATTTACCACTGAGTAACGAATATATTCATTGTCATCTAGTCTTTTTATCCATAATAAAAAAAAATTGGGGGCGTTCTTTTTTTTCCTGTCAAATTTTCCCTGTTAACACTAAGTTGGCCAGCGATCTCCCTTGCCTAGCAGACTTCACGCTAGGCCAGAGCACATTCTCTAATTGACAAATAAAGGATCACTCTTTGCCACAACTCGGGTCATTTTGGGACATCTGTCATGCAGGCCAGGGTGAAGCAAAGCATCGGCCTAGGACATCCTGCAGCCCAGCTGCTGAGTTGGTGAACTAAGTTTGTGTGACAGTGTATGAGTCAGTGAGGAATAACTGGAGGTTTCAAGTGATATTTTCAAGTATGGCATGCAGGATTATTGAGGGCGGCGGGGGGATGAATTGAAAAGAGCATTTGTTTCTCTCCTGAAAAACAACACACAGTTTCGGGGAGGGGGTTGTTTTATACTTTATCTCATAGCTCTACAAATATGGAAAAGTCAAAGGATGCGTTGTTCCTTGGAGCAAGGGCATGCCAGCCACTGACATACCCTCCAAGTGTCCCGATTTTCCAGGGACAGCCCCAGAATTACAAAAGCTATCCCAGCTTCTGATTTGATCCCAGAATGTCCCTATTCCCCCCACCAGTGCCGCTGCTGGGAGGAGAATGAGCCAGTGCTTGTCCCAAGTGGCGGTGGCAAGAGAGCATCCTGTTGCCTCTCTGTGACCTCTCTATCACCACTGCTGCTGGCCTCATCACTTGGACAGCTCCTAACAGCTGCTGGAGAGCAGGCTAGGAAGAGGAGAGGTTTCTGCCCCATGGCTGTGGAAGAGGAGAGGTTTCTGCCCCATGGCATTGGCTGTGAGATGCAGGCCAAGGGCAGGGCTGCCCTGGGCATGAAGAAAGGGGGAACGGAGCGCAAGGAGTCTTCTTCTTGTTTTTTAAATGCTTTGTGCATCTGCATCTAATCTTGCCCTTTTCTAAAATTTATTTGTTGGTGTGTGTCTTTCTTTTTGTAAACCTACCAAAGAATAGAATAGAATAGAATAGAATAGAATAGAATAGAATAGAACAGAATAGAATAAAGGGGATTTTCTCAGAATGGTGGAGGGCATGTGTGCTGTGTCCCATTGGTGATAAGAAATCTGATAAGAGATTGGGTGGTCAAGGAGGGTCAGTTGTGGGGGGGAGGGAATGAGAAATGTCCCTATTTTCATCTGAGGAATGTTGGAGGGCATGCAGTGATATTGTATCGTCTCCTTAGAATCTGCACCACCCTCCCCCAACTTCATGCCTCCTGAGTGTTTTGGACTACAGTGGTATCTCAGGTTACAGAAGCTTCAGGTTACAGACTCCACTACCCCAGAAATAGTACCTCACATTAAGAACTTTGCTTCAGGATGAGAACAGAGATCGTGCAGCGGCAGCGGGAGGCCCCATTAGCTAAAGTGGTACCTCAGGTTAAGAACAGTTTCAGGTTAAGAACGGACCTCCAGAACGAATTAAGTTCTTAACCTGAGGTACCACTGTACAGCAATCAGCCCCAACTAGCATAGCGAATGGTCAGGGATGATGGGAGTTGTATTTCTGCAACATCAGGAGGGCACCAGGTTGGCAACGTCTAACCTACACTCGTATTTCCTGTGATGAATCCCTCCCATATTTCCTCTGCTATGTTTCAACATGTTAGGATAATACCTTATGGCAATCATAACCCATGGTTAGTACCTTGTGTCTTTGCTCGTTATCTTTAAAAAATATGCCATAAGGAGGATTACTTCCATGTATTTTTTAAAGTCACTCCTGTGCAGAGGTAGCATCTCAAATTATTTCTTTATAATTGGCAGCTCACCTGCCTCCATACAAGGGTTTCTTGACATCCAAGCTGCCCAGCTGGGGAGAATCCAGCTCCCAAGCTGAAGAAGGTAATTGCTTTAAGAGGCAAAAAATGTCAATCATCTGCATGTGGAATTGGCAGGTTAGTTTTCAAATAGATAATGCTTCTGATATATGCAGACTCCAAAGTTTTCTTCACTATATTTGAATGAAATGGGATTACTTTTGTAAGGGAGAACAGACTCTCTGGTCCCAAAAGGATGTAGAGCTTGGTCACATATTGTGTGTACAACACAAGGCCTAGGAAAACTTGGCCCTCCAGATGTTTTGAGACTACAATTCCCATCATCCCTGACCACTGGTCCTGTTAGCTAGGGATGATGGGAGTTGTAGTCCCAAAACATCTGGAGGGCCGAGTTTGCCTATGCCTGATCTACACACATTCAGCAGCAGACACGGAGGTGTGCTGCACTGACTTCTTTTTAATGGTACTAATATAGAGTTCATGCACTATGCATACTTGGTCCTTCAAGCTGCAGTGTCAAAAGACGTTTTAATTATGCTCCACAAATGGAAGAATCTTGTTGAGTAGCATGAGCTGCATTTCCCTTTGCAATGTTTGATATAAAATAGCAAATTATAGCAAATGAACAATGACTGGCAAAGTCAATGTGTAATTATGAGAGAGAGCTTCACTATTTGCATATTTCATCATTTAAGTATTTTTTGTTGTTTTATAATTTCCATGCTTAATTACTTGGAGCAAGTAAGGAATGCTAGCAAAAGGAGGTGCAGAGATTTCTTTGCTTAAACATCTGTGAGAGAGCCTGATTCTCCTCTTCCAAAGTTTAGTTAACACTTTCTTCCTTCATATATTCTGGAAGATGTTTGCCAACTTTGCCCCTGGGCTGGTTCCAGCCCATTGAAGCCCTTTGTACGCGAGAAGGAGGAAGGCTTGTCCACTCCACCACAGATGCAGAACATGTGAAGCAAGGACTTTGAAGGTTTAATTGCAGGTGTAGTTCTTACCCTCTTGCAAAATAGTATGTACACCGGTACACACTAAATTATTTTATCACAGAGTGTGTGGTCTGTGTATCTGTGGGTACCTGTGCCGGTTCCACCACCGCAAAGAGATTCAACAGCCAAGATGCTGTATACTGTAAATGCTACACTGATGAGCTTTTCAAAATAGATACCCAAGTACAGTGGCACCTTGGTTCTCGAACTTAATCTGTTCCAGGAGTCTGTTCGACTCCCGAAACCATTTGAAAACCAAGGTGCGGCTTCCGATTGGCTGCAGAAGCTTCCTGCACTCAAGCAGAAGCCGTGTCGGACGTTCGGCTTCCGAAAAACGTTCAGAAACTGGAACACTTACTTCCGGGTTTGCGGCGTTTGGGAGCCAAAACGTACAAGTACGAAGGCGTTCGAGAACCAAGGTATGACTGTGTATATGTCCACTGTAGCTAGGAGTATTTAATGAAAGGCAAGCAACGCAAGGGAACTATTGAGCTTTTTTTTTTTTGTACTGCCTAGAACTCCCTTCTGAGTTATTACATTCTGAAATTTACTGCTTTCGATGCCACATTAACGTAATTAACTCCAGTTCTCAAAATATAATTGGACCAGAGCAGCACCACAGTTTTGCACAACATTATAGGTTATGTTGTTTTGAAAATTGTTCTCCCAGATTAGCCAGTAAACGAGAGAAATGTTAAGCCACTTATCCTTCAAGAAAGGCAAGGGGAATTTTATTCTAATCCCTAAACTACATACCCTGTAGTTAGAACTACCAAGGTCGGTGAAATATTTCCACGTATAAGACTGCAAGGTTTTAATGAGGCTGACCCTTGATGCACCTTGAATTTGTACTTTTAAGGTAGGCTAATATGAAAGAATTAAAAGTATGCAGGTCTTTCTTATATATATTTGAGAGCTGCAGGATCAGCAATGAACCAATTAATAGAGAAATAGAAGAAGGAAAGGGTCTCCAATCCTAGCCCCCATCACCAACCAAATCAATTCAGGTTTGAAATTAGATTAGGAAAATCTATTTGAGTTTTTCTCAATGTCCTTTTGAAGTAAAAGAAGTAATTGCTTGCATATTTTATTTGGCAAAATATTTCTCAGCTACTCTGAACTATACGGTTTGGTATAGCTTCCTGGACTGCTGCACCTCTGAGGAATTTCAATCCATTTATTCGCCCCCACCCACCCCACATATATCTCAGATGCCTGTCATTTCACTTAGAATCTTAATATTCTGTTCAGAATTTGATTTTCCATGCTCACAAGGTTTGTTCCCCGGAGACTTCTGCAGTATCTAACGTCTGCATGAACGAAACAAGAAAGCAGCACAGCTTGATTTAATTGACATCAAGTTAATTTTTTTTCCACTTTCCCATTTGGGGCTCTGCTTGTAAGGATTTGACTGGATTCGATTGATTTATTTTTTGCAAATTTATTTTTAGTAGCATTTGAATTAGCAGTTGGTTCCTGTGAGGAATGGGTTTGCTGTCTATGGCAAGGATGAAGATCAGGGCTGAGGAACCCTTTTTAGCTCAGGGGTAGTGGGTGGGGCAATGAATAAGGCTCCTATCTTTGTATAGTAGGCTACCTTCCAGCCAAACAAAAGCATAGCTGTCAACCATCCCTTATTTGGCGGGAAAGTCCCTTATCCCAGCGCTGTGTCCCGCTGCTGTCCCTTATTGATGATGTCCCTTAAATTTCCCGGGTTTCAAAGGAAGCAGCTCCTCTCCCTCCCTCCCTGCCAGCCAGGGAGGAGAGAGGCTCCAACTGTGTTGCTTGGCTGCGTTGCTCACCCAATAAGGAGTCTAAGAACGACTGGGGGGTGGAGCTTGCATGCCTTGTGCCCAGCCGCGTTGCCTGGGGACTCGCCTTTGCTCAGCGCTTCCCAGCAGAGAGGTGACGGTAGTTTTCCTTTCTGCATCCCCTTTGCCGGGTTGCTGTGCTGTGGGAACCACCACTTGAGGCTTCGTTTGGCTGCTGGCTGGGCTTTCTGCCTTT